GCGCCTCTGAGGCTTTGCTCTGGCAAAGCCTCAGAAGTGCGGGAAGCAGGACCCGCTGCGGCTTTGCTCCTGGTGCCCCTGGTCTGCTGGAGACGGTCCCCAGCAGACCAGGGGCACCGGGAGCAGCTTTTCTCGCCCCGGAGGTCGAGGTGGCTGACCGCTGCCTTCAAGCTCCGGGGCGAGAAAGCCCTGTTCGTAAGTGCGGATCTGACATAAGTCGGATCCGCTTAAGTCGGGGACTGCCTGTACTAAGGAAACTACGCAGATACTGGATTACCTGGCTCAACTGCCACATCCACCAAAATCAAGCACAACATGCCCATACACAACCAGCTTACACAATAATAAACACATACACCCTTTCACTGCAGCCACCCTCCTCATTCCCAGCCTGAAGAAATTTACACAACTACCCCCAGCAAGACACACAAATTGACATACAGTAACCACATGCCATTTTGAATCAGCACACACTTAACCACAAATATTACTCTGAAGCTAAGAATAGTTGATGGCAGTTTTTATTTAGAGCCATTTCTGACTTTTCAGAAACATGATTTTACAAATTACATCTATGTGACAGCGAGGACAGTCAGCCACTTTTAACAATGTTACATTACTAGTGCTTCCTTTTGGGAAGTACCAGAGTCAATGCTTGCATTCCTGATACTCTATGACTGATTATGCATCCAAAGAAAAAGAGACTACATGTGTCAGAAGGTCCCAAACAAACCCTCTAAGTGTACATCTACACAGTAACGCTATTTCAAGATACTTCCATTAACCCGAAATAGTTATTCTGTGTCTTGACAACACGCCCATTATTTCAAAATCTCTTTTGAAATAACAGGTGCTCTATTCTGACACCCCTGTAAACATTGTTCCATGATGATTAAGGGGTATTTTGGAATAGTGGTTTATTTTGAAATTATTACGAAATAAGCTATTTCAAAATTAACTTGAAATAAGCTACCCAATTTGCAAATTGCATAGCTTTATTCGAGCTAAGGGGGAAGTTTAGACACACCTCAAGTGTTGACATTTTTATCCCACTGAAACAAAGCATGTAAGGAAAGTGCACTAGTATTTCCTCAAGACCAGATGGGTTTCTTCATGCTGTATCACCTTTTGCCAACACTTCTGGGCTGTGTCTAGACTGGCATGATTTTGCGGAAATACTTTTAATGGAAAAGTTTTTCCGTTAAAAGTATTTCCGCAAAAGAGCATCTAGATTGGCACGGATGTCTAGATTTGCGCAAAAGCATCCGTGCCCAGTATAGACGCGCTTTTGCGCAAGAAAGCTCAGATGGCCATTTTAGCCATCGGGCTTTCTTGTGCAAAAAATTAAGGTGCCTGTCTACACTGGCCCTCTTGCGCAATTATTCTTGTGCAAGAGGGTTTATCCCTAAGCGGGAGCATCAAAGTATTTGCACAAGAAGCATTGAATTCTTACATTAGAACGTCAGTGTTCTTGCACAAATTCAAGCGGCCAGTGTAGACAGCTGGCAAGTTTTTGCGCAAAAGCATTTGCTTTTGCGCAAAATCTTGCCAGTCTAGACCCATCCATACAATTTAATGTACATTTCAGAATTTAAACTAAATCTGGCCAGGTGAGTTCCTCAGGCAGCTCTCTATCATTTGTTCATCATTTTGCAGTAAAGCAGGTTCCCTAAATTGCTGCTTTATCAAAATATATAACAACTTTTTACTGGCAGTCATTGCACCTGTATTTGCCAAGTTTCAGTATCAACTGTAAGACAGTAGAAGATGGCAAATTTTGCAGACTAACATACATAAATCACTTTTGTTTTTTGAAGGAGATGCTTAGTATGAGAGATCGCCTACCAGAGGACATCGACATAGTTATTACTCTTTAATAATATTGGGTATAAAGTTAGGCTGGACAGCCTTCATGAGTTCCTCTGCATACATCTCATATCTACCAGTCATCTGGAAAAGAAAAGCAGAGTTGTAGCCTATTTCAGTAACTTTCCAGTAGCTGCTCTTCTCCTCCTAATGCAGCTCAGCACTCCAACCCCTGAATAGCTGCTCCACACAAGAAGGGGAGGAGAGGGCTGCAGCTGTGAGGAAACGGATTGCTAACTCTCCCGGACTGAACACTATTTATTGCAATAGTGTCTAGTCCACCCAGTCCGGGATAGTTGGCAAAGCAGGAGCAGAACCAGGAGAGCAGGGTGGTCTGAAGGAGCAGAGGGTGGCCACACCGTTGGCCAGAAAGAAGCAGCACTTTAAAGGGGAAAATGCCACTTCTCTCCAGCCACTTGTTATGTAGCTGCCCCCTGCTCTGTGAGTGGCTGCAAGCTGGGTTTGGTATTGAGCCCTGAGGGGGAAGCCAGTGGATGAGGATGGAAGCCACCAGAGCTAGGGTTACCGTATTTGAACTTTAAAAAAAGAGAACACTCGTGAGAGGGAGTATATCTCAGTATCTACCAACTCACTCTATATATAGGGTTACCAGATGGCTTAAAAAAATACCAGACACACCTGATCTCAGTGGGGAGGAGGGACCAGCTGGGAGGGGACCGGAGCTGGCTGGGAGGGGGGAGAGAGAAACCAGCCA